TGTTCTAATCGCAGATTTCGGAATTGTACCCTCGTAAAATTACAAGTAACGTTACGTTTCACTATACGTTTTTATAATTACAGATGCGTGAATTTCATTTATGCACAACATATTTATGATAGCGATTTTATTCCATACACCTTTAGCACCTAATAGGAGGACAAACGCAGTCAATCTCTGAACAATTAAAAACCCTAAGGATGTTTTTTTTTATTCACAATGTACTTCTATACAAATAACTTTTACATTTACAATAAATACTTCAAATAATATTACAAAATTTTTCTTTTTTTTTTGAAAAGCTGCTTCTGAATATGAACCATATTCCTGTTGCATGACTCTGAACAAAATTACGTCATTCTCACCCACATTCCAACCCTTTTTGTTTAGTTTAAAGATAATGGAAGTCCTGTCAGTGAAAGATGATGATTCCTTTCCCAAAAAGGGTGTGCACGTAGCGGCGACTGTTTATTTAAAGGGTTTGTTTGAGGTTTTCCATAGTTGTCATATAGGTGTCAAATCAGTTCACATACAGGACAAAGAGCAATAAAACCACATTACTTGACAACAATCTGTCACTAACAAACACAAAGCACTTTTTTTTTCTTCAAGAGCATAGTTCTTACTACAGATTGTTAGCATGCTAATACGTTCTAAAATTCATCCCGACACTAAAAAACTTAGGTATTTCCTCGGTGACTAGCCAGCTAATTAGCCATCCATCCCTTCACATTTGGCCAGAGCTACTAAGCAGTTCCCCGAGGCTCTTCAAAATACACATTTGCAGCTCATTGATCCCATTTAGGCTCATAGAAAAGAGTCCGTAACACAAACAATCCCTGAGGGAAGGTTTAATGAAGAGAACATGGTACACACAAAGTCTCTGTTTAACCCAAGCTAGCACACATGCAGATCTGCACCTGGCACTTCACAGGAGATATGACAGGCCGTGAGGCTTTCAACAAAATCAGTTGATTTATAAAACAACCGAAGAAAGGTCCGACTAAAAGCATGTGCGCTAACCCTCCCTCACCTCGATAACTATCAGCGCACAAATATTGGATGGAGAGGTTCAAGAATTCCAACGGATCACAGTGGCTTTTATTAAAAAAGCAAGGGAATGAAAGGCTGAGGGAAGATTCAATAAGCTAGCATTTTCTCAGAGATAATCTATAAAGTATTAGTTAGCCATTGTCTGTTCACTTAACAGCTGACATGTCAGCCTGTCACAATGAATCGTTTTTGTTGTGCGATATATTCAAATTGCTGCAATGATTGATATTATTATTAAATTAAAAACTAATATAAAACTAATATAAACACTGTCTCTGTTATGGAAGTGGACAGCAGCTTTGAAACAAACCTCATTTGGACAACTTCCAACCTGCCAGTAGTTTTTCAGGAAAATGTGAAAACTCGCCTTCGCCTGTCAGTAAGCATCCTTCCGAAAGCAGTGACCTAAGCTTGCTGGCACCTCCAACAGAGTTTAGAAGAGATGACAGAGGCTGAATAATCAGCTAAATTGTTGCAGATATTCATTTTTACACTCACTGGCTACTTTATTAGGTACACCTGTCCAACTGCCACACATGGCAGCAACTCAATGCATTTAGGCATGTATACCTGGTCAGGACGATCTGCTGCAGTTCAAACAGAGCATTAGAATGAGGGAAAAGGTCATTTAATTGACTTTGAATGTGCCATGGTTGGTGGTGCCAGACGGGCTGGTCTGAGTATTTCAGAATCTGCTGATCTACTGTTATTTTCATTAGTACTAATTGAGCATCATGTCAACGTTACAGCCTACCTGAGTATTGTTGCTGACCATGACCATTCCTTTTTGACCACAGTGTACCCATTTTCTGATGGCTACTTCCAGCAGGATAATGCGCCATGTCATAAAGCATGAATAATCTCAGACTGGTTTCTTGAACATGAGTTCACTGTACTTAAATGGCCTCCACAGTCACCAGAACTCAATCCAATAGAGCACCTTCGGAATGAAGTGGAATGGGAGATTCGCATCATGGATGTGCAGCCAATAAATCTGAAGTAACTTCATGATGCTATCATGTCAATATGGACCAAAATCTCTGAGGAATATTTCCAGTACCTTGTTAAATCTATGCCACTAAGGATTAAGGCAGTTCTGAAGGCAAAAGGGGGACCAACCCCGTACTAGTAAAGCCTGATTTATACTTCTGCGTCAAGTGACCGGCGTAACCCACTGCGCATCTAACGCGTGTAGCTGTGCATTTATACTTCTGCGCGCTGTCTCTGTTGGTCTGCATTAACACTTCCGAAACGCTAGTTGGCAGTGAGGTGTTAATGCTCCTCTGTGTCGAGTTTCTTCGCTGATGTTTTGCTTTTCCTAAACACTTCCTGAATGTACAAGTGGCACAAACTCGCTCATTTTGAGGCAGGAACCAGCAGACGAGCAAAAACTTTAACTATGAGGTAAACACAAAACAAAACTTTCCATCCGGAGCTCCTTCTTGGGACTCCACATTTGTAAACAATCGCTGCATCGGGCTTGTGCCATTCGCACGACTCTTGGTCCCGCCCTGACTCGTCAGCGCTACCAAGCAGACCAATCACAGAGCTTGCGCTTCGCGTCGTTGCGACGTGTAGTTACATTTGTAGAGGTGCACGTCAGCAACGCCGACGGCCACGGCGTAGGGCTATGCGTCAACGCATTCTGTATTCGGCCCAACTATTAACTTTATTTTTGCAAGCTAAACCATAATGTCAACAATAAAACAGCTTTCATAGCATAAGATTAGCATTTGTTATGTATAATATCCATTGAATTTTAAGCAAAGAATTACAATGTCGTCATAGAAACAGTGAAGTTAAATTACTACCTTTCACCCAGAGAACTCACAAAGCAGCCTAGTTGGTTAACCATTTTTCTTCACAATGACAGTAAAAATCCACCTTTTTAGCAAAGCCAGAGCTTATGATTGTGTAGAAAACACAGCTGGCTACGTTTTATGATGAATGAGCAAATCAAACTTCTCTCTTCCCATGGCGAAAAGCCATGTGTAGATCGCAGGTTAGTATAAAGGTGCTAACGTATGGCGTCAGGCTATTGGCATGGTATCACATAATCAAAAAATGTGTGTAATGGGTCAATTGAACAGAAAAAAAAAGTCGGAAGTTTTGATTCTATCATTTTCTTTCCCCCTTCCTCTTCCTAATGATAGAAAAACAACATGCTGAGGCAAGATTCAGTCTTCCGTTCAACTGAGGTCTTGTTTCACAGCTGAACCAAAGACCCCTTAAACTTTTAATAATCCCAAAACACACACAGCGACTCGATTTCCCAGATGGTGGAGGAAAACTAAGCACACAGACGAAACACAGTACTGAACAAATGTTCAAACTATTAAATAGACTTTTTACTGCTGTATAAAAAATTAGTGGTGAAAAATAATTTGAGAAAATTGAAATTTTCAAAATGCATCGCCATTCTCTCTTGAATTGATTCTGAGCTTAGTGTTTAACAGCACATGGCGCTGTATGCTTTACTCTGTAAGCCGTACTCTGCTTGCAACCAATTTCTTACAAATATCCCTAGAATTAATAATAATCATCAATAAAGTTAGAAAAAGTTTGAGCGAATTACAAGAACAGTAATAGTAAGCTTTGCTTACATTAATCTTGTGATATAAATGCCAACTTATTTGACTTAAGTCGAATGCACAAGCAACATCTAGAACGACATCTGCAGTAAAAAACTAGCCTAGAGCAACGTCTGCTTTTTAAAACTAGCCTAGAGCAATGTCTGCTGTTAAGAACTAGTCTAAAGTGCCATCTGCAGTTAAAAACTAGCCTAGAGCACCATCTGCAGTTAAAAGCTAGCCTAGAGCAGCCACTGCTGTTTAAAAACTAGCCTAGAGCAATGTCTGCTGTTAAGAACTAGTCTAAAGTGCCATCTGCAGTTAAAACTAGCCTAGAGCTCCATATGCAGTTAAAAACTAGCCTAGTGCTCCATATGCTGTTTAAAAACTAGCCTAGAGCAACATCTGCTGTTTAAAAACTAGCCTAGAGCAACGTCTGCTGTTAAGAACTAGTCTAGAGTGCCATCTGCAGTTAAAAACTAGCCTAGAGCAATGTCTGCTGATTAAAAACTAGCCTAGAGCAATTGCTGCTGTTTAAAAAGTAGCCCAGAGCAAAGTCTGCTGTTTAAAAACTAGCCTAGAGCAATGTCTGCTGTTTAAAAACTAGCCGAGAACAATGTCTGCTTTTAAGAACTAGTCTAGAGTACCATCTGCAGTTAAAAACTAGCCTAGAGCAATGTCTGCTGATTAAAAACTAGCCTAGAGCATTGTCTGCTGTTTAAAAAGTAGCCCAGAGCAAAGTCTGCTGTTTAAAAACTAGCCGAGAACAATGTCTGCTTTTAAGAACTAGTCTAGAGTGCCATCTGTGGTTAAAAACTAGCCCAGAGCAATGTCTGCTGTTTAAAAACTAGCCTAGACCAAAGTCTGCTGTTTAAAAACTAGCTGAGAGCAATGTCCGCTGTTAAGTACTAGTCTAGAGTGCCATCTGTGGTTAAAAACTAGCCTAGAGCAACGTCTGCTGTTTAAAAACTACCTTAGAGTGCCATCTGCAGTTGAAAACTAGCCTAGAGCGCAGTCCTCTGTTAAAAACTAGCCTAGAGCATCTTCTGCTGTTAAAAAAATATTCTAGAGTGCCATCTACTATTAAAAAACTGCATAGAGCAGAATCTGCTGTTAAAAACTAGCCTAGAGCGTCCTTTGTTGTTAAAAACTAGTCTAGAGCATTGTCTGCTGTTAAAAACTAGCCTAGAGTTGCAGTCTGTTGTTAAAAACTAGCCTAGGTCGGTGCCAGTGGCTAGTTTTTAACAGAAAATAGCAAAGCATTTTGAAAATCTCAAAATCAAAGCAGAATCGACTCCTCAGATAAAATTTCATCGCAGCTCTACTATTAAATTGCAATAAACCTGTGAGGAACAATTAAACACATATTAGTTTTACCTTAAAGCTAGTAAGCTCTTGTTTGGTGAATCCATGACTGTGGATAATCTTCATCTGTTTGACCAGCGTACTTTTTCCACTTTCTGCAGCACCTACAACAATAGTTTGTGCAGAAAAATTTAAGCCATTTAGGTTTCATTCATTCCTTCGTTTATTTTATTTTCGGCTCAGTCCCTTTATTAATCAGGGGTCGCCACAGCGGAATGAACCGCCCATTTAGTTTTTACATTTAAAAAAATAAACAAACTAATTTTAAGTGACAGTTCTCATAGATTACACCAAGATAAGTCATGGTTTCATTGACTAAAAGCTGAATTTCCATTCCACATCTAATAAATAGAAAAACAGGTCACTGTTGTGCTCTTTTATTAAAAAGATCATATTAAAATGACATTAAATGTTAAAAATAATAACAATATTAAAATGGTTTAAGTTTGAATATCATTTAGCCAAAATAGCCAAAATGAAAACAACGATAAATAGTTTACCTCAGATTAAGGAACTGTGATTTGTGAACTGCTCCAGTTTCGATATTTTATAGCTGGTTTTATAAACTTAACAATTAGCTTTTCTGTCATCTACTTTTTAACGCCCAGTCTTTTGAAGTGGTCATTTTTAAGCCAAAGCTCTTAAAATTGATGTTATCCTGATGGCATTTGACAAGTGACTGCCAGTTAATGAGAGTGAATTGTGAAAGTAATAAAATGGAGCTGAAAAAAACTATAACAACAGCCTTTTGATAAATAGAAACATCACAATAATTTTGTAGAGCTGCTTTGGAACGATAATTATTGTGAAAAGAACTATACAAATAAACATGAACTGAATAATTTATGCTACAGTATTTATACTTTTGGTGGGTTGCAGCTGGAGAGCCATTCACTGCGTAAAACATATGCTGGATAAGTTGGTGGTTCATTCCGCTGTGGCGACCATGTATTAATAAAGTGACTAAGCCGAAAAGAAAATGAATGAATTCATGCTATAGCACAACAATACAGTATTTATTAATGCCTACAGTATTTATTATTACACTTTATCAGCTCACTATGGGTAATAGTACAGTATTACAAGGTGTTGTAAACACTAAATGATAGACATAATACACTTTACGGTTCAATAACACTACACTATTTACTATAAATTACTATAAGAACCCAAAACACATTTATACATGTTTAACATATCTCCAATACGACCAATGTAAACATCAAAATCCCGGTTATTTCAGCTCAAAGCAACGGGAATATGAAGTTTGTGCTGTTCTCACCCAGCAAGAGGATCTTCACCACGTTCAACTCTCTCTTGGCGTACTCGTACAGGTCTCTGTCTATCTGCGAGCTGTGGATCTTCGCCTTCTTGTCCTCCTCTGTTGTCACCTCTGAGCCCAAACACAGACCCATTTCCAGAGCTCATGTCTTTCTAGAAGAGCTAAAGGTCCAGTTGGAATCCCCAAATCACGGACGAGAAGCGTTTAAAGTCGTGTAAGAACATCCCGGAGGGTCGCGCGCGCGCTTCATTAAATACACCAGGTAATAACGCGTACAAATAATGACAACAAACTCTGTCACGAGTGTTTATTTTGAAGATTTCTCGATGTATATCTCTGTGTTGTGGAATGAATGGAGAAAAGAGAGGAAAAAAAGTTTCAAATTCGACAGATCCCGATTAGTTCCGTCAGATTCATATAAACAGCGAGATCGTTTATACTGTGACAGAAGACGCGGACATTTGTTAAAAAAAAACACGACACGGCTTTACCTGTTCATGTTGGTGGTAAGATAAGTTAATATAAATGGTGAATATCGGCTGTTCGGAGACTCTTTTTGGGGGTGTCCGCTTTCTTTAGGAAGGAAGTGACGTGTGTTTGTGGAACTTTGTCACCTGAGAGGGGTTTTGTTTTCGCTGTGCTCAAGGTATGTGCACAATAATACAAGTGGTGCTCGCTGTTATCAAATTGAGCTGTTGTTTAATAACGTTGAGCTTTAAAAAGTAAAACAAAAGCACGCAATAATAAATAATAATGAACGAAAATAAATAAAGTGCATAATAAATAATTTTAAAGTATTTAAAAATATTGCAAGTACATGAATTAAGTAAAATAATCAAAACTGTAGTTTTTGTAACATACAAAAAACAAAATACAATGAAACGTTTTACAAAGCAATTAATTAAATAAAAAACAAATGAATTATATCAAATGAAATGAAAACGAAGTTCTTTTAAAAAAAATATTATTACATTTGTTTTAATTTTTTAAAAACTTTTGTTGTTAAAAAACAACGAAAACGGTCCATTAAAAATTACAATCAAATATATGTACAGTTATAAGTAAACGAAACAAAGTAAACAAAACAATTACAAACAAAAGTAAAAACAAAAGCAAAAACCAGCCCCAAAATAAATTAAATTAAGCACCAAACAAAACAAAAATGCAATAAATAAATGAAAAATAAACCAAATCCATCCAAGTAATATCAAAGTAAAACAAAAACAAAAAACACAAGTAAATAAAATCCGAGTACATAATGTAAAATCAACCTAAAATAATTTTATCAAATAAACTGAAATGAGTAAATGTAAATATTATGTAAGAAATTAAAATGAGCAGACAAAAACTAAATAAAATTAAATATTTTTTACAAATTTAATTAAATTAAAAAGTAAAAAATAAAATGCAGTGGGTAGCACAATCGCCTCACTGCAAGAAGGTCGCTGGTTCGGGCCTCAGCTGGGTCAGTTGGCATTTTTGTGTGGAGTTTACATGTTCTCCCCTTGTTCACATTGATTTTCTCCAAGTGCTCCAGTATCCCCCACAAGTCCGAAGACATGTGGTACAGGTGAATTGGGTAAGCTAAATTGTCCGTAGTGCATGTATAATGAGTGTGTGTGGATGTTTCCCAGCTGGAAACATCCACTGAGCAAAACATGCTGGATAAGTTGGTGGTTCATTCCACTGTGGCGACCTCAGAATAATAAAAGGGACTAAGTCGAAATAAAAATGAATGAATGAAATTAAACTAAATAAATTATTTATAAAAATATGAAGACAACACAAATTACAATTGACTAAATGAAACAACAAAAACCTATAGCACAAAATAAATAAAATTAAACTTAAATTAAAATAAAAATGCAATTAAATGAAGAACAAATTAAATAATTTAAGTAACTGATTATCAAGAAGCAAAATAAAACAAAGTAAAATATGAAATCAAATAAATTTGAAATAAAATGTATTAAAAGCATTTTAGTGATTTAATGAAGCGAAATTAAATCAAACATAAATTAAGTACCAATTTAAATGTTACTAATAAAACGGTTTATTATATTAGAATATAAATAAAAACACTAATCTATAAATAAAATCTAGACTTTAAAATGAGTTAAAAAGCATAAATAAATAATACTCAAAGCAAGCTTTTTTTGATAGTTTTATTGTGTAAACTGCAAATTAATTTGCAATTAGTTGATGTATTGTGATGAATTAATTAAATTAAAGATTGTCTGAGAGCGTTTCACGCCTAACAGTACATTCAGTATTGGTCACTCAACATTTTTCTGCTCACATCTGCAACGTACAGACATTAAATTAGTGTTTTTTTCACAGCAATTCACCCAAAATGGACAAGATGTTCAAAACAAACAAACAAACAAAACAAAAAAATAAGCGTCAAGGTGCTTCAATGGTCAAACACAAGATGAAACCGCATTCAAATGGGATAAAAGTACAGGCATAAAAGTGGTTTTAAAATTCACACTCTTGCACAGAAAGAATATTTATGTGTTGTTTTTTTTAAATGAATGGAAGTGTGATGTTCAATCCGCGGTGAAGTTTGTAGACCGATAAAATCAATATATCTAATAATCACCTGAGGTCAAAGACTTGCGATCATGACTATTACAGGTGAGAAAGAGAAAATGAAAGTGGTAAAAGACTGTAAAAATGCCAGATGTGTGACTCTAGACTCTGTTTTATATAACACGCATATTAAAATTTACAGTTAAACTACAGGAAAACTAAAGCAGCACCACTGGAGTTAAATATACTGGGGTTAAAATCTGTTAAACATACGGGATTACGCCACATTTTACCACAAAATCAGATTATATATCATTAACTTTTTGCATTTTGACATAATTAAAACGTCTTTACAATTTTATACAATTATATACATACATACACAAGTGTTCTAGATTCTCAAAGTCCTTCAGTTCTGCTATGGAAAGGTATAAGTTCTTCGAGTTCTCTGTTCATCTTCTCTAAGGTCTAGATTCTCAAGAGTACTCCACTTCTAGACATTACATTTTGTAAGTTCTCCAAGTACTTCAGGTTATGTTCATGTTCTCCAAGTTCTAGATTCTCAATAGGTCACCAGTTCTTAACAGTACATTTTTTAAGTTCTCCAAGTTCTAGACTCTCAAGAGTATTCCTGTTTTAGACAGTACATTTTGTAAGTTATCCAAGTACTTTAGATTCTCTGTTCATGTTCTCCAAGTTCTAGATTCTCAACAGTTTTCCACTTCTAGATAGTATATTTTGTAAGTTCTCCATGTATGTCAGGTTCTATGTTCATGTTCTCCAGGTTCTAGATTCTCAATCGCTCACCGGTTCTAGATAGTACATTTAAGTTCTCCAAGAACTTCAGGTTCATTTTTCCTGTTCTCCAAGTTCTAGATTCTCAATAGTTCTGCAAGTAACTCAGAGTCTCTGTTCATGTTCTATGAGGTCTACATTCTCAATAGGTCACCGGTTCTAGAGAGTACATTTTGTAAGTTCTTCAAGTTCTAGATTCTCAAGAGTACTCCTGTTTTAAACAGTACATTTTGCAAGTTATCCAAGTACTTCAGATTCTCTGTTCATGTTCTTCAAGTTGTAGATTCTCAACAGTTCTCAAGGTACTTCAGATTATCTGTTTATGTTCTCCAAGTTCTAGATTCTCAAGAGTTTTCACGTTCTAGACAGTATATTTAGTAAGTTCTCCAAGTATTTCAGGTTCTATATTCAGTTCTAAATTTTCAGAGATCTCTAGTTTGAAGGTACAGTGTTCATGTTCTCCAAGTTACAAATCCTCAAAATTCTCTGGTTCTAGATGATAAATTCTGCAAGTTCATTTAGTTCTATGTACATTTTGTCTAAGTTCTAAATCCTCAGAATCCTCTAGTTCTAGATCGTAAGTTCTCCTTGTACTATGTTCATGTTTTCCAAGTTCTAAATCCTCAGAGTTCTCCAGTTCTAGATTATAAGTTCTGCAAGTTCATTGGGTTCTATGTTTCCAGGTTCTAGATCACAAGTCCTTCATACTCTGAAGTTCTACATTTTCAGAGTTCTCCAGTTCTAGTTTGTAGGTTCTTTGGGTTCTGTGTTTATGTTCTCAAAGTTCTAAATTCTCAGAGTAAGCAATTCTAAATTGTAAATTCTGAAAATTCCCTAAGTTCCAAATTCTCAGAGATCTCAGTTTTTAGTCTGCAATTTTGAAAACTCTTTAGGTTTTTATGTTTCATAACTTCTAAAGGTTCTAGATTGCTAATTTACATAAAAAAGTAAACATCACAATAAAATAAAAGTTAAACATATTCATTATACTTTAAAGTAATGAGAGTATTAAATTAAATTTTATCAAAATGCAAAAAAAGTTAATAGTTTTAATAGGGGCAAATGTATTTAAGCACTACCCTTTTGATTTTGGAGTAAAATATGACCTGAATATGACACCACAAGACTCACCCACGCTAGTAAGATTAACCTCACTAGTATGATCAGATACGATTTGAGTCGACGTGAATGTTTCCTTCAGTAAGCATATGCGCAGCTGGAACATTTCTTTTTTCAAAAAATGGTTAAAAATGACACAATCTTTCCATCAACTTCATAAATTATGTAAAAGCATTTGCCGAATGTTTCTCCCACTCAGAGAGAAAGTTTTCAACCCATTAAATAGGTGCCATAAACACTCTCTGCACACAACAAAGTGCATTTTCTTCAAACAAGAGTCGTATGATTTAAAACAAGTCCTTGTCCTCCTCTTTCTTTTTTTAAAATACCTTACTGTTCATTACTGAATGTAATTGAATGAGTCCAGGGGTGATTCTGTTCTACGACAATACCGATTAGCTTGGTTTGGTTAATTCTTCGCAAGAGCTGCTTCACTTTTCACAGATTCATCTTTACGCTTCAAAGCCTGGAGAACAGCCATTTCTTTCGCTTCCTTCTTCTGATTCCTGGCTTCAAACTGCAGCCTATAGTACAAAAAAAATCGTTGCATATTTTCATAAATATTTCAAGTGAGCGTTTTTGCTCGTATTTTCCTACAAACCTGTTCTCAATGATTCTCTGAACAATGTCGTCAGTGGTCAGATTGTTGCTGCTGTCCAGGATGCGGAAAATACCTCTTTTCTTTGGCTCCTTTAAAGTGGGAAAATGGGTAAACATTTTATTTACTGACCAGAAAAGCGTTTGTAGATCCATGCGAGAAGATTTTACTCACAGCATAAGGGTCGGTTCCATCTGCGTCAGGAAATACATTGGTTTTCCCATGACACACCAGATCCACCTACATATAAAAGGATAAATGATATGTGTATGGTGTTGAGAAACTGTGAAATGAACATATAAATACCTGATGCATTTGCTTATTTATTATTTAAAAATTTAAAAGCACCACAGAGTTCTCAATGTTCCAAAGGTTCTCCAGTTCTATAGTTTTAAATTTCTTACGTTTTATGTTCCTGACTTTTATAGTACTTTTTTAAAGCTACAAAATCTGAAGTGTGAACGTCCGATATTGTTTAGCTTCCGCACGCTCTAACTTTTCAAGATTTTAGGTTTTGGAGGTCTCCGTGTTCACAAATTTTTAGCTGTAGTTTGCCAAGTTCTGAAAGTTCTGACATTTAGTTTCCATATTGTCTGATTTTTCAAGATTTTAGGTTTTTTATGGTAAGAGCAGCCTGGCATTTGCCAAGTTCTAAAAGTTCTATTTTCATGTCGCCATCTTCTAACTGTTTTAGGTGCAGAACATTCAACAGTTATTGTAAGATCTTCGGATTCCATATTCGTGTTCTATACGTTCTTAATGTTCCAGGTGCTCAGTATTCTTCAGTTCTAGTTAGCAAAGTTCTAGGTTCTTTGTTCACATTCTCCAAGTTTTAAAAGTTGTAGATGATAAAATATCAAAAATATTTATCGGTAAATAAAGACAGATGGGTTTAATTTTAGGGCTTCTGAAATACTACAGCATTTTGATATACATTATGGTTGCCGATACATTGTTTATCTTTTGTCTTTTTTCCCCATCTTCCCTGCAAAAATGTCCCAAGTGCTCATTTGGGCCCTGTGAAGTTAACCTATAATGTATGATTGAACTCTCCGTAACTGTCTGAGGGTTTCCTTTTAAAGAGGCGAGCTGTAAATCTCTAGATTTTTCCCTGGAGAACAACAATGCAGAATTGCTGAAATAGTGGTCTGTCACTAAACCCCGAGTCTGGCTGCTCTCCCAGAGCTCTACACAACACACACACACAGCTTTATGCCTGAACAACGCACTGTGTGAACCACACAAACCTCGTTCTTTCCAGATTCAAAGCCTCTTATTGTGTTATTGTGTCTAGAAGGCGCTTGCATGACAACCAGTTTCTTATTCCCTATAGTGAATGAACACTGTAAAGCAGAACCAGTACTGTACCTTAAAGTGATCCAGAAGATCTTTTTCGACAGCGTACGGAGCCCCGATGACAACCTCAGACACGTACTGAAGACAAAAGAAATAAAATTAGTCAAAACTTAATTGAACTATTATTAACTATATGCTCTGGTTTGGGACTTGTGGAGCTGCACATTGATGGATTTGCTTTTCAGTGTTTGGACTTTACGCTGTGAAAATTAAACCACACTGAACTGAACTTCAACTCTGAAAACTGGACTGACACAGTTTCAATCTACTGGAGCATCAATGTTAAGCTGCTTTGACACTGTATACATTGCAAAAGCACTATAGAAATAAAGATGATGCTCTGTAGAAAAAGTTGAGTTGAGTTGTACTTTATTTTCCTTTTTCAGGAAATTTCATTTTAAAGCCTTCAAGGTCATTTACCATTTAAAATGCTAATGGACACTGCTTTAAATGACTTCATGTAATGATTACATTTAAACAAATAAACTCTTTAAATTGCTTCCCTGATGGCAGAACTTCATACATTGGTAATAAAACATGACTTGTATCATTTGCTATTACTTGTGAATTCCGAAAATACTAAAGTTCTGAAGTTCTCTGTCTTGGTTATACAGTTTCTGGTGTAATACGGAGTCTGTATGTTCTCTGTTTTCCAGACTCACATGATTCTCAAATTCTCCAGGTTTGGTGTTCTAAAAGCTCCATCTTTTCCAGCTGCAGGTTCTCCAAGTTCCCTACATCCTCCAAGTTGTATTATTCTAAAGTTCCAAATTGAAGGGCTCGAAATTGTCTTTTTTACTTGGTAGGACTGATGCTCCAGCCTGATCTCACCAGAAAACATAATACTATTTTACTACTCGAATTCGTATTCAGTCATATGAAAATGTACGGATTTTAAAAGGAGGCGTGGCACCCAACCCCAACCGCCATTGGAGGATAGGCAAATCATAGAAAATTGTACGAATGAAATCACACCATTCAATACGAATTAGCCGCTGATGGTCTTTGGACATCGTATGCGTCTTTTTCGTATTCATATGTGAAAAATTTGTCACGTATACAAACCTCGCACACTGAGTCTGATGCGTATTAATCAATCCATTACAAAAAAAACGCAAAGCTTTTCAGAGTCAGATTCAGCAATGATAGTTTGTTCTCCTCTCTTCTCCAAAGTAGAAGAAGAAAAAGCAATAGGCTACAGATTGTGTGCATTTAATACCAGCCCTCATAGAGAAGAAGGAGAGTTCTCTTCATCAAAGAGCTGCGCAGGATTATCCCGAAAAGCATAGTTTATTTCAGGAAATCAGTGGAAATTTGATACATTTCTTGTGATACTTCACACATTCACATCTGTAAACAAATCCTGACCAGAGACTGGCAGTACCTATAGGCATTATAATAGATTGTGGCAAACGTTGACATGTCGAAACAAAGGACCGAAAGCAGACCATACTTTCTATTTTGTCTATGAGCAGTACGTCAAATGTACGGATGAACAGACACACACAGACAAACACCAAGCAGCAGCAGGGGAGAGGTGTGCCGTTCACTGAATCTATCATATAGCGGTTCTCAGCTGTCCACCACGTTCTGTCTTATATTATGCACTGTGTTTGTCATCTGTGGATCAATTGACGACATTTTGTAGTTTACTTTTACGGCGGCTCTGAACTGTCAAAACACCTCTCAAAGTGCTTTTTTGGATGCGAAAAACGAATGAATGTTTCAGAGGCAGTGTGTCAGTACGATTCCCACAACGATTCCCACAACGTGAGGTCGAATTTATTTTTTAACGTGCAAAAATTACAGCCGAAAATGTCAGATGCAGTGTGCAATAACTTTAAATCAAAAAGTTACGAGGTGCTGTGAGATAGCATTGGTTGCTTCCACCTTTAAAAATGTAGGAGCACCACTGCAAACTGTGTGTTAACAAATTCATTACACCAATCAGAACTAAAGCCTGGTTTATATTCCACACGTCCGCTAGTTTGCTTGAGTGTATGTGCCGAATATGACGCCGTTGATGTGTTTGCGGAGGTTCGCCTTGGATGTGCGTGACATGATTTTGGCTGGCGGAGCGCATGATTTTTTTTTTTTGATTTGAGTTGAATATGAAACACTTTGAAGGGGTTTTGTCTGAAACTGGTACGACTGTACAAACACTTTTATGATCCGTGATCAGAGAGATAACAGATTATCAATAATTCTTGTCTAGAAATTGCAACAGCCGTGGGAAAGGAGGAAAGTTTTTGTTTAAAAATTTGAAAAAACATAAGGGAGTTTTTAAAAAAAATAGTTTGTTAAAGAACGCAAGAAATTAGTTTGTTAAAGGTAATAGAGGACATGGCAAAAGTGGAGACCCGGGTACACAATTACAGAAATATGTTTTTTCCACCAGTCATAGGTTTAACACTAATGTATATCTTACAATTTCGAATTTAAACAATTTAACAGTTACAGAACCATAATTAAGAAACAAATTAGACCTATTTTTTGATAACTGGAAAGGAATATTTGAACCCATTGGTTTACAATATACTGATGCCCTGTTTTTCAAGGCTTTATTGGTGATAATGATCAGGCATGTTGGACCATTGTTGCCTTTTTAGCATAAAGCAGGGGTCACCAATCTCGGTCCTGGAGGGCCGGTGTCCCTGCAGGGTTTAGCTCCAACTTGCCTTAACCTGCCTGGATGTTTTAAGTATACCTAGTAAGACCTTGATTAGCTTGTTCAGGTGTGTTTGATTAGGATTGGAGCTAAAATCTGCAGGACACCGGCCCTCCATGAACAAGTTTGGTGACCCCTGGCATAAAGTATAGGACAGAAGATAGTCAGACAGTAATGTGTGAATTGTGGAGCAGGCTAAATCTAAAGAAGAAGAAAAATAAAATAAAAAACATCAGTATTTTTCAGTAAGTATACTTTTTATCTGCTTTTATTCTTGCCATAATATAAATATATTTGTAGAGTAACACATGTTCTGTTGTCATTAATATTTTAATAAATGATGACAGGTAGAACTGTCCGAGATGTGAACAAAAGCAAGTGATGCATCAAAGTTTGATTAAAAAAAAAATCTAGTATGGTTTAAAAAATCTTTATAATCATTAAAATGATTTATACAAATAATAAAAATAATTAGTTTAAAAATCTTGAATGATATTAATGATATGACGTAGTTCTGGAAACTTTCTACTTCTCTGTTTATCTGTCTAGACCAGGGGTGTCAAACTCAATTCCTGGAGGGCCGAAGCCCTGCACAGTTTAGTTCCAACCCTACTCCAACACACTTACCTGTAGGTTTCAAACAAGCCTGAAGGACTCAATTAGTTTGATCAGGTGTGTTTAATTAGGGTTGGAACTAAACTGTGCACAGCTGCGGCCCTTTTGGAACTGAGTTTGACACCTGTGGTCTAGAATTTACGGTCAGTTTCTTTTGATGGTCCTCTGTCGTTTTAAAGAATATCACAACGGCGAACGCGGCATATAAAAGCCTCGTCTATTTCATGAGGTGCACGCGCAGTCAGCGGAAGTGCGCGATGCGGCACCAGGCGAAAGTATAAATCCAGCTTAACAACAACCAGCAACAACAATGTAACTAATTCTGTGATGACTTACTGACATTTGCGCAATAAGTCCAAAATGAATGTCCAATAATTATACTATGATGATAAAAATAATTATTTTCTGCTATAAAAAGTCCTGTCTGTTACATTATGAAAAATACAAATATGGTCACACTATAACCATAATATGACCTCGCACAAATGTTCCTAAATATACTATGGGGTTGCACAGATAAGCACATATGATTCAATTTTTGAGCCATGAATAGTCAGTTCTAACAGCACTCAAATCAACTGAAGTTCTAAAATCCTGAAGCCCAGGCAAACGCTGTTCTTCAGAAAGGCACGCACGTGTGGTTTTCATTGACATCTCAGTGTGAGGGAGGTTTGCAGTTCCTCTGCATGTTTCTGATACCGAAAGCTCAATGTGGGTTCTGTCTGAACGCGACGTCATGCTTTAGGTATGCTGTTCCGTAAGAGAGTGTGCGCTGTGGCTTGGAGAATCTCAAAGTATGAGATTTTTAATAGGCTTGGAGTTAAATCAACTTGTGATGTCTGTTATCTTGACCTTCCGATGTTTCATAATGCTTCAGCATTTTATCCTCCCCTTTTTTTTCCCAAAATATCCCTCCCTCCCTTCAAACAGAGCAACCCATTGTTCTTAAACAAGAACGCCAGGAACACAAAAGCAACATAAATCTATGCAACACAATAAAACGGGATTGGAGGAGACGGTAAATTATGCACAACCCAAAGAGCGGACTGGAGGAGGAGGTGATTTATGTTGGAAAAGATTAGGAGACGGTCATTTATGTCAAGTCATGCGCTAATTTATGCAGAACGCAAATGATTGGAGGAGGCGGTAAATTGTGCACTTACTCTGCAAGCGAGCACACTCAAGGTTCGCTCGTGAATATTCATGATGGGGTAGTTTTTCCCTTTGTAGCGGTTCACTTCCTACAAAAGATTGATACAAATAAAATATAAAATAAAAACAGGACATCAACAAATTTTTTTGTACCAGTGTTTCACTCAGCTTTACTGTAGTAAATCTATAACATGTATACTTTGCCTTTTAAGGAGATTAATCAAGTTCCCCTGAGGCCACGAAGTTCAAAAACTGTGTAAAACAGGTTTATGTGTCGTCACGCCATGGTTTTGACTTTGAACTTGACTTTTAATGGTTGACATGAGTTTTTTCGTCCAATCTGGGGTTTAACAATCATTTAAAACAGCTTGTTACAGCCCTTCTGATGAGCACAATGATGTTGGCGTTGCAAAATGTGTGTGTGTGTGCATGTTATGAGCACACAAAATTGTATGATGTCATGTATATAACTTCGTTCTAATATATTAAGGTGGTTTGAGAGCACATGTGTCCTATAATTCAAAAACACAAAAAAATAAAAATCCAACTTAACAGGGTCAAGGTAGGGTTATGGTAAAGCCATATAACAAGCGGTTTTTACAGTATAAAACACGTCTATGGAGAGTTCTTGTAAACCATATATTTAAGTATGTGTGTGTGTGTGTGTGTGTGTTAGGAAACACACCTGGTCAAAGTGCAGTCCGACGATGACGTAAGGTTTCTCTGCTTGTCTGTGAACCGTCTCAAGGAAATCCACATGACCGATGTCTTTACGGGTCAAACAGTCAAGGCCAAAACACACAACCAGCCTTTTCACCACTCAAATTCTAAATGACTGAATTTCTTGAGTCTTTCCAAGTTTTTTTTGGATTTCTTCAGCGGCATTCAGGCTTTTTAAAAGGATACGGAAGAGGTCGAACGCTCCCGCCACATATATGATGGTGTCTCCTGGCTGCGGCTCTTTTCCAGAGGCGAACTGGATGATCTTTTGAGACGTCTGCAGGAACTGAGAGACGCCGGTCCATGGGCTGTGTCCTTTAGGACCCTGTGGAGAAATGATAAATGTCAATGTTGAGCACTTTTAGAAATGCCAAAAGGTTCGAATGATCAATATGTCACATTTAAATATTCATGTTATGTACAGGATGCTAGATTAAGAGAGCAGTTTTAATCTGTAATATGAGACTACATAATATTAAAATGAAAATACTATCATATTTTAACCACAAGGATGTCAAAATGTTTATTTTATTCTCAATTAATATTAGAATTCATTCACAATAATTAATATTATTCACTAAGTACATTCAAAGATGAATTTTTGCTTTCATGTACTCATTAAATCAGTTTTGTTTGCATTCTTCTTGTGTGTTTTACAAGTTAACCCTGACCTCTAGTGGTCACTATGTATGAGAGCAGGTTACAATATTTTAATATTATATTAAAACAAGGATCAGATCAACTTACCTTCCCAAAATTATCCGTGTGCACTTGATAAGCTGCATTGTCCTGAGAAAATGTGTAGATTATGCATTAGGAACTGACAGATTATTAAATCGACTGAATCATTAATAAACGCTAAAGTCTACTTACAATGTTACTGTGGTGCGCTTTTGTTAACAGGAGCATTCGACCCACTAGGTCTGTCGTAGACACTCCTTGTGTGCGTTTGCACTCCCTGTTGACCAAAAAAAAAAAGACAGATATTGTTGCACCCACCACTGTGTGAGAATCTAGTGGTGTGCCACAGGTGTATGTGCGAGGCCTGTTGAACTTTACCGGTATCTCCCTGTTCTCTTCACCTCATCGTATGTATCCTTACCATCCACAGTCAATGTGATGTCATCTGACAGAATAAATGACATGGTTTTAGATTAAATTAAACATATTATTGCAAACTGATGTGCATTATTTAGACTAGTTACTGATTATGAAAAACTCAATTATGCAAAATGTTTACTTCCACAACAGTGTGCGGCACTTTTAAAAAATATTCAAGCTATCCCTATGAACATTTATAAATGCCTTACACTAAAGATCCAGTGAAATTAAAGTAATGTTTTTAGATGTTAGTATCAGTATTTTAGTCTTCAATGATATCTATAAGCTAGTGTGGTACAAAACAATGACAAAATTTGCGTTTAGAAGATATAAAACAGATGTTAACATATAAAGCTAGTGTGTCACTTCCGCCTAAATGGATCAACATTTTATTTTGTGTCATTTTATACTTCACTTTCTCATCAAATCTTGACCAATCAGATGCTCTGAGATGCCCCACCCCCTCAAGACACTTCTTATTTGAAGCGCTTGAGCTCAAATACTCTGACTGGCCGAGCTGTTTTTAAAAAAAACACTATTGGCTCTTTTTTAAAAACGGGAGGAGCTACTCCATCCCACCCTCTCTTTGTTTTTTAGCTCAGATAACGTTAAACATCTAATAAAAAAGCATGTTTCAAAGCACTTCACGGCACCTTTAATATAATAACGCTATGCTAAACTAACGTATATTTACACACAATTGCAATTAAGTTGCTAGGACTGCCCTGGTATATGTTAACAAGAACCTCACCATTTATACATATATATATATATATATATATATATATATATATATATATATGGTGAGTTTCTTGTTAACATGTACCAGGGCAGTCCTAGTAACTCAATAGCAATTATAAGCTTTTATCTGCGTTCTGAATGATTTTGAGATATTGAGCTTCAAAGTTTTTGCATTATGTGTGTTTTTTTAAATAGAAAGTCTTAAAAATGTAAACAACTTATAAAAAACATCCCATAACGTAAATAAGTTGTCATTTAATAAGAATATGTCAATTACTCAATTTTGGCAGAAATGTCAGATAGAACCTTATAATTCTAGGGTGACGATATATACTGTATATATATGTCCGCGGGGTCTTAAAAAGTATTAAAAGTTGATAAGTAATTTATGATAAAATTAAGGCCCTTAAAAGGTATTAAAAAGTCTTAATAATTTTTTACGAGGTCTTAAATTTTGTTCAAGTGTTGTCCAAAGTGTTTGACTTCAAAAAAGCATGGATAAATTTATTTTTCTCGGTTCATGCGATTGGTTTGGGCCAAGCACGTCCGGCCAAGCTCCTCTGTCCAGGTGATGTCACACAATTTGCGACAAACATGGGAAGGTTATGTGAAGCTCTGCACATGTAGTGAAACCATAGAGCGAAACAGACAGCAAAATGGGAAAATGTAAGTTTGTGTACTTCTGGTTGGAGAAAGACGAGTATAAACAGTGGCTGAAGCCTGTCACTGAAAACATTTATCAATATAAGCTTTGTTTCTTTCAAGCTTATCTGAGTTCTGCTGCATGGTTGTGCTCCACTGATTTATTTAACTACAATTGTTTATTAACAACGGTTTATTAAGTTAAAGGTTTAATGCTAATTAGAACTTGCGATGAGGCCTTAAAATATTCTGCTAAGGTCTTTAAAAAGTCTTAAAAAGGTATTGGAATTATCTTTAGGATTCCCTGTATATGCAAAAATAATTCCTAATTCATTTTAATCAACATAATTTACATATAGAACTCTTAACGGAACAATAACAAAAACTGGTAGTCGATTATAAGAAAGTGAATGAAAATAATTACAAACCAACTAAATTATGACTAATTTGGCGCAAAACAAATGAAATTCAACACAATGTTTAATCTTAAAAGGACAGGAGCAGAAACAGGCTATCAAAAAGGATAAAAAATATGACTCAATTATGAACGTAATGATGCAAAATAAGCAGATTCAAGAAAAAATATTCTTCAAAAGTGTCAAATATGGCCCCTTCAAAAATATTCAAACGATTTTCACTCACTGGCTTTCTAATCGGAAACATTAAAGATGATGAAAACAATTACGATACACTAAATTATGATCATTTTTGGGCACTTTTTTTGTATTTGAATAAGAACTACTTATAACACACTAAAAATTCCACAAAAATGTGAAATGTGACACTTTTAATCCTTTATTGAGCATAGAACCATATATAGCAACTTCATTGACATGGATTACAATAAAATGTAAAAATATTTAAGCCATAAGTCTTCTCATAACCCCAGTAACACTCCAACGAGTGCCCTATAAAGGGTTAAGGATATGACGTTAACATTAGTGCAGTGCATTTGGCAGCAGAGACTTGCCTTGCACTCAAGAGGCACATTATTATCAGTACTTGCCTTTCCTGGAATTCAAACCAACGACCTTGCAGTTCAAACCCTAGGCCGACTGAGCTACAGAGTTACAGACGGCTACTGATATGCAGCGTGTAACGGATCCTCACCTCCGTGCACGCAGAAATCGCAGTTGTACTTGTCCAGCGTCTCCAGCGTAGTAACATACGGAGCCCCTTCCACGATCTCATCCACCCACTTGATGGCCCGTATCATTTTATAACGCTCTGCCTGTGTGAAGACTGGAGGACCCTTGTGCTTGGCTATTTCCTCTGAAGGTGAAAAACAATGCCTCATTACATATTATTACAGCATTATAGTGAAGAAACATGAAGTGTGAAGCTTACCGTCTGTGTGAACTCCTACGACCAGATAATCTCCCATCGCCTTGGCCTGGCGTAACTGGTTTGAGTGGCCGTAATGCACCATGTCATAGCTGCAGAGACAAATGTGGAAATTAAAAGTACATGATGAGTGTATTATTTAACATTTCATATACTTGTGAACATCAAATTGAAGCAGTTTGAATTTATTAGAACTACACAAGCCTTAAACGCTACTTTCCTGCCTGGCTGAATTGGGGGAATGTTCCACACTTTGAAATCTTATGGCTTTTACTCTTGCACTCTATGTAAAGCTGCTTTAACACAATCTACATTGTACAAGTGCTATAGAAATAAAGATGAAGCGAATTGAATAACTGAATTAGAGATGAAGCCATTTCTTGTCATTTACTAAAGAAATACAGTGTGCAAGGTGTTTTTCTGCATAAGGTCATTAAATTTAATTAAATTCTGCCTTATTTTTAATCTTGTAATTATAAATTATAGGCATTTAGGCATATTTGGCCATGCTAATTTCGTAAATATAGCTGTACAAATGCTAAAGTGTTAAACACTGCTTTTGTTTCATTTTAATTAGTGTTGGAAAAAGATTAATCATGATAAATTGTATCCGAAATAAAATTTTATATATATAGACACACACATATATACACATACATATAGCAGGGAAAATAAATATTACAAATGTCCCCATTCTTCTCATAAAAACATATTTGTAAAGGTGCTGTTGACTTGAAATTTTCCCTGAATGTTAATAACAACCAAATAAATCCATATATGCAAAGAAAACAAATCTAATTAGTTTACAAATGAAGTTATGAGTAATAAAACGAAATGACGCAGGGAAAAAAGTATTGAACACATAAAGAAAAGGAGGTGTAGAAAGGCAGTGAAAGCCCAGACAGCAGCTGAAATCACTCAGGAGTTCTACAGCAAGCCTCTGCCCTATGTCATTCTGCTTCAGTCCAACATCTACATTAGCAGGATGATAAAGATGAAACCAAGGTGGACATTTCAGCAAGACAATAATCCAAAACACAGCCAAGGAAAAGAAAATCAAGCTGTGGAATGGCCTAGCCAATCACCTAACTTAAATCCAAGAGAAAATACAAAATGAAGCTCAGATTTGACAGACGAGACCCACAGAACCATCAAAATTTTACACTGTTGAAGTCAATGAAAAAATGCATGTGACTTCATTCTCCATATGAGAGGCGTCTTTAAGCTGCCATTACCAAAAAGGCCTTTTATATAAAGTATTAAATACGTTTTAGTAGTTCAGTACTTATACTTGAGTCATTTCAATGTTATTACACCCAAATATTTTTTCATAATTTTTGTTTTGTTTTATTTCTATGTTTGTATTGTTTGGGTTTTTACCAAAATCTGGCTCAATTCCATGTCAACAGCTCCTTCAGAAATAGTATTCCCAGGAAAAAACATGGTGTTTGATACTTATTTTCCTCACTGTATATATGCATTTCTTAAAAAAAAAAAAAAAAACTATACAAAACTTTTTTGCATATTTATTTACATGTATATATGATTTGTATCATATACATATATATTTAATAGCTAAATCTAAAAATAAAAAATTTTCTCAAATACATGCATGCGTGTGTGTATTGGTATAATTAAATATACATAGAATGACTTAACACACATATGTCGTCAAAACAAATTTTAATTTTGGACGCGATTAATCCCTATTCATCTGTTCACAGCACTAGTTTGAACAACAACAAGACGAAGTGAAACAAAAGGAAATGAAACAAAACAAAAACAAAAGTTCCAAGCTCGAAAAAAGTTTTGACTGAAATTATTTTTATTTTTTTGAGTTTTGCGCAAATATGTAGATATTTTGTTGATTTTTGAGCAATGTTTTTGTGGATACATGTTTTAAAGTCTATCATTATGTTGTTTGAAATAAAGTAAAATAAAATTACAGTTTGGTCTTGCAGAATTTGCATAGAGTAGTGTAAAAATAAAGTAAAAATAAGAATAAAAAAATAATAATCATTTGGTCTGCGTGATTATTTTAAGACTGAATGAAGACCTTTAAACACTAACATTTACACCACGCACCTAGAAATCTAAATACAGTATTAATAAAACATCCATAAAGCATGACCTACATTCAAAGACAGTGGCCATGTGGATGATAAAGGCATAACTGCATATATAAGAGCTGAACAAAAGACTGTGGTAACGAGAGCCCAGGTGTGTTATCTAACCACAACCAGCCCTTTCCCCTAGTAATATCATTAGCCAGGCCGGCGGGATTACATGAGGCCATAATCTCAAATTCCATCTCCCATGATCCTCTGCCGGACACCACACTTCACACTATGGGTTATTTATAAAGTCAGTTTCATTTCATCACTCATACAGGAACGCTAAGGTGCTTTGAAGGAACTGGGGGAATATATATACACACTTTATACACACACAAATATGTCATCTTAAAAAGTGATTTGTGTCATTTCAAAGCCTCTAGTGCTACATTAATTTGAACAATATGTATCCTGTTTTTTTTTGTTTTGTTTTTTTGAGTAAAAAAATGGTACTCGTATAATTAGACCTTGACATACAGAACAAATCAACCGAAATGACATTTAGTGTAACAAAAGTTTATATATTAGTTATATTTATTTGATTATATATTTGTTTATTATTTATAACACCCTAAATAATCTTGTCAGGCATATGTGGTACAATTATTATATTGGTGACATTAAAAGTCTCTATTAAAGGATCATGGTGCACAACCAAAACACTAATTATAATAATTATTTTTATTCACTACCCTTCTAAAGCTACTAAGTTTCACCTTAATGTCAGCTATATAAATATAATAAAAATTTGTATAAATCACACTTTTTAAAATATATTTTAAAAATATGTGCATTTGTACATAAATGATTCAATCACGCTGCATGACAAAGGAACATTTTTCATTCATATTTTGACATTTTATTTTTATTTTGAAACATTAAAGTCGTAACTTTATTTACATTTAAAACTTTTTTCTATTTATGTAAATTATTATTATTTTTATTTAGATGCAGACACCGAAATCCATTTGGATCATTTGCATGATATGAATAATTCATTAGCGCAGGCATGAGAAACAGGTAATGTGACTTTTATAACTCTAAACTGTAAAAGTTCTCAGAAATCACATGACACAAACAACTTTGAACCTGCACTGTTTTTTTATTTTTATTTCAGTAGTATTTCTATACTAATGTAGTGTTTGGGGAAGAAAAAAACAGTTTTTTCATTTTAATATAATGGCATTTTAGTCATTTATTGTATTAATGTTGTAGTTATTAGTTTTATTTTACTTTATTTTAAAAGTTCAATAATTATAAAAATGATTAAATACTTAACTATTAAATAATAAAAAGTTTATTCATTTAAATCAATCCATTTTATTTATTAGTATATATTTCAATTGTACTGTTTTGATATGTATTTTTGTAAACAATAATAACAACCCTTATTTTATATATTACCTGGGTTGTAAAATGTACTTCCCAAAGCATATGACGAGAAATAAAACTGCACAAACTAATTACTTTTTTTTTTTATTATAAAGTTTATCATCAATTTACACTCAAAAAATTCTTGCTTGTTTAAACTACTTATTTACGATGAACTGAAGCAACATAGGCAACACAGTGCGTGAATGAATAAGTGTGGATATTTCCCCAGAGATGGGTTGCGGCTGGAAGGGCATCCGCTGCGTAAAAACGTGCTGGATAAGTTGGCGGTTCATTCCGCTGTGGCGACCCCAGATTAATAAAGGGACTAAGCCGACAAGAAAATGAATGAATGAATGAATGAATGAATGAATGAATGAAGCAACATAACTGATTAGATTTTTTTGGGGACAACTTAATTTTTTGTGTTTAACCCATTTAATTTTGAATCAATTTGTGTTGGGAAAACATGAATGAATTGTGTGGAACCTTGCAATTTTTACAGTCTATTCATTTATAAAATGTCCACTTGGTAATGTATTTATTAGGTATAGTTTTGTGTAAAATATTAATACTTGTTTTGCTTTAATAAAGCCTGATGAGAACGTGTCTGTCAAATTAAACAAAAAACAATATTGTAAGTGAAAGTGCTTTTACACACACATAAAAAACTGAAAAGAATAGTGAAGGTTTTCACTTGTTGTGACTGGAAAATCAGGGTCATCTGACCAAATATTGATTTCTAAACTCTTCTGAACTTTGAACAGCACATTTGAACAAATAAATATACTGATTCCCACAATATTACCATGTTTTTTAAGTATACTTCAAAATACCACTAAGAATAGTAATCACTCAATAATAGGCTCCGTACTATGGTAATACCATGTCAAACTGTAACTGAATCATGTTGCAGATAAAGCACTTTTTGTAGTTTTATGTCAAACTGACATGACATGACAAGAAAGCATGGTACTTCTTAGTAACACAGTACAGTACCATAAATATCAAATAAATTTATGTACATTAATGAATATTTGGGCATAGAAATTGACATTTACATTAATAACACCATGTTTTTAACATGTTTACCATTGTAAACTTTAATAAAGCGTTTAAATTTACTATATTAAATGTCAAGCACCACGGCGTCCATCTCTGACACTACTTTACTGTGGTACTTCCATAGTGTTTATACACTTTCACTATAGTAAAACCCTGGTATTTTTAAGTGCAATTCAATAGCAAGCAATACTGTAATCGTTAAATATCCTGGTATAAACGGTGAAATACATTTTAACCAACCGGAGTATGTAATACTGTAACTGTAAGCTACCATGGTACAGATAACCTGCACCGTTATAATACTTCATAGACTGCCGCAGCACGAAAAACATGGTATTTCTCAGTAAACACCGTCGATATAGCATGGTAAAACTCCACATTCTACAATAAAACCGTTTCAGTGTATATTTTGTTCAGCTATATGATTATAAACCCCTTTTTTCCTCAAAACTAGAGATGATTTTTCGCATATCGTATCTTCGCATGACAGTGACGTCACTTACCAGCCGTCACACCACACCCGGATCACCCGCTTCCTCTTCTCGGGGCTGTGGGTCGAGGAGCTCGGCTGTGCGCGGTCCTCCTGCTCCACCGCATGGCTTCCGTTCCTGATCATCTTCTTGAAGCCTATGAAGTTCCCTGACTGGCGTTAAAAGCGGTAGTAATGGTCCGTGCGGATATGAATGACCGGCGAAATCTCTACGCCCTTCCAGACGCCCCGAGAGTGTGCGCAGCGTAGATGATGCGACGCGCAAACGACACGCCCCCTTACGACACCCCGCCCCCCTCTTTTGAGGAAGTGACGCGAGAAGAGAGTCGCGCGGGATTTCCCTGTAGTGGTAAACTCTCATGATAGAAATGAATGAAAATGAGGTAATTTCTAATAGAGTTTGAATGTCGTTACACCATTACACTATAGAAGCTATAAATCGCATAATTTACGTTTCGGTGCTCATGTTATCATGTATTCGTTTTTCAATGAAGGAACAGAATGAATACATCCTCTCATGAACGATATTAACAATAAATAATGTTCATAATCTTCTGATAAACATCTCAGAGATTTGTTTTCTGGTTTAACACGAATTAATGAAAACAAATACATTAATTAAATACTAATAAGTAGGCTATTGTAAACGTTTCTACACAAAATTTGCCATAAAAAACGAAATATTTATATTATTAACGTATAAAAATACGCTGAAAGTACGATATATTTTATATCTATAAAATATATTTTTAAAGAAATATATCGGATGATGATTTATTTTCTGATTAACTGCCAATAAATATGAATACTTCTACGTTTACAAATATATTGTTTGTTTCTAATTTATTTGGCTTAAATATTGTATTAATGCAAGTTAAAAGTAGAAAAATACAATTGAAATCGTAAATGTCTTAGAAATACTATTTTAATGTTTTTCATCATTAATCGATCGTCATTTCTATTTTGACGTAACCTTTTTTTCGGTTTGTTTTATTGCTGAGCTACAAAAAAGTATTGTAAATGAATGTAAATTTTTAAACTGAAATGTCATTCGACGGTTAGAGGACAATGCTGAAGACGCTGGTGAGGCAAAAACAAATGTAACTCCATTATTTATCTATTATAAATGAGATTTTTTTGGTTTTTACTGTAATAAGCTCATTATAAAAAGTTCATTATAAAACATAAAACAACTTATACTGTATTACTTAATATAAAGCAATGTTTTCTAGTTATTTTTAAATATTGTTAAATAATTTAGGAAATTATACATGGCAACTATATTTACCTTCGGCCCACTAGCCTCAATCAAGTTTGGTTTTTAGATCTTTATAAGTTAAGGTTTGGGCACCCCTGTTTTAGATGTTGACGTTACTTACTCTAGTCAAATTGTATTTTTTATTTTTTTGTAAATAATTTCTTTTTATTAATCTCTGATGCGTTTTCTGATTTATCTTTTTATTATTATTTTTGACGTTTTTCACTTTTAATTAGAAAAGGACAGTGAAGGTTACAGACAGGAAAGTATTGGGAGCAGAGAGTGGGGAAGGATTGGCAAAGGACCTCCAGCTGGGAATCAAACTCGGGTCACTGTGAGCATGAAACTATGGTGCTTTATGTCGGCGCACTTAATCACTATCGACTGATTTTTCTTTTTGAATGTTTGAAATTAATGCTTCATATTAATAGATTAATAATAATAGTAGTTGTTTTTTACAATTAAGTTTGAGGGAAAAGGCTATAAAATAAACAAAAATACCAACTTGTGTATATACAGTTAAAGTTAGAATTACATTTAATTTTTTTTATATATATTTCCCAAATGATGTTTAACAGAGCAAGGAAATTTTCACAATATGTCTGATAATATTTTTTCTTCTGGAGAAAGTCTTATTTTTTTATTTCAGCAAGAATAAAAGCAGTTTTACATTTTTTTTAAAACCGTTTTAAGGACACAATTATTAGCCCCCTTAAGCTATTTTTTTAGATGGTCTACAGAACAAACCATCATTATACAATAACTTGCCTAATTACCCTAACCTGCCTAGTTAACCTAATTAACCTAGTTAAGCCTTTAAATGTCACTTTAAACTGTATAGAAGTGTCTTGAAAAATATCAAGTAAAATATTATTTACTCTCATCATGACAAAGATAAAATAAATCAATTAGAAATGAGTTATTAAAACTATTGTGATTAGAAATGTGTTGAAAAAAAATCTCTCCGTTAAACAGAAATTAGGGAAAAAAATAAACAGAGAGGGAAATAATTCAGGGGGGCTAATAATTCTGGCCTCAACTGTATATATGTATGTATGTATGTATGTACACACAAACATATACACACACACATATATATATATATATATATATATATACAGTTCTCAGCATAATTGAGTATACAGCCCATTTTGAAAATAAATATTTTTATCCATTTTCTCGGTGAATATATGAATGCAATGTATTTTGGCGCATTTAAACAAAACAGATTTATTAAACAGATTTATTTATTAAAATAATATTTTAGTCACCAAACATATTTAGATATTGAAAGATAACACAATTAAATTCAAGCAAAATATTGCAAAAATAAATTACAACCTACAAAATTTCAACAAAATTTTCAATTTTAAAAGATGCTGGATAAGTTGGCAGTTCATTCCCTTAATTAATAAAGAATTAAAATTAAAATTAATGACTGAATTAACCAAACATGTTTTGTAAGCCTTTGAATATGCAATCACATGAATTGTTACAGATCTCCATTAGGTGGCGCAACATCTACTTATGTTTAAGCAACAAAATAGCACCCTCGAGTGGAATATGAAAATGTTTATTCATTTTTTTTCACCATTTTCCAAAGCACTTTGATACAGCAGTGGCACACGTAAATCTTCACTTTTTACCTGAGCGTTTCGTGCATTCACCCCAGTTTGTTTTTCATAGCACACATAGAAAATAGCTCAAAACTATAGAAAAATAAGTCTTTTTTTGTTGTTATACCAACTTACATAATGTTCTTTGACACTAGGGAAAATAAATAATAACCACAGTGCTTGATGTTGAAAAAAATAAAACAATATGGCTTTCGATTTCAAGATTTGTCTCTATTTTGCCGGTAAGCGTTATGGCTTTCATTCGTTTTGATGATCGAATCCCCTTCAGGATCCAAATGTCAGGAAAGCTCGTCGGTTCTTCATTGATTCCCACCACGTTTGCCACTAAAAAAAGAGAGATAATGATGTAAAACCTACTGAAAATAAATTTACATGTTCTTATACTGATGAGCATTTACATATAATTAGCATATAAGTTGTATTTTATATATTCAAATAATTTTTAGTTATCTTCATCTATGATATTTCTTACAGAAAAATCTCTGAATGTCCTTTTCTAATGAAAAAGAATAACACAAATAGTCATTATTAAATTTAATAATATTATTTAAATTAATAAACTGAAAAATGTATATGCTAAATTTATCAAAATTTTACAAATACATCTAAATATTTAGATTTAAAATATATTTACATATATTTAAATATTACACATTTCATACAAAAAATGTTGAATGCTTTATTTGTTATTAATTCCAAGTTAAACAAAAAGGCTGAAAAGTTACCAAAATACCCACGGCTTATATAAATTAGCAACAAAAAAACATATTTGAAGAAATAATCACATAAACTCACTAAAAATAGACCTGCATCATCTCATACTGATTATCATTTACGTATCGTTAGCATATCAGTTTTATTACCTTGTCCCTGACGCCTTCGAGTTCATCACCCATTGTAAATACTCTTTAGCTGCGATGCTGTCCAACACCTTGTTGACGTCACTGGTGAAACTGCCGTCTACATGTCGCCTTTGCGCCATATTTGCACCTTTGTTGTTTGCAACACTGCACACATGAGAAAATCAACCTGTTAGCATGATTATATGACACTTTTGAATCACTTAGTAACTGATTTCTAAGCAGAGATATATAGCACAGGTTAGCATGTAGCATGTTTTTTAGCTTCATTTGTGTGGTTGCAATATTATTTGTTTGGCTTTAATTAGCATTATTGTAGAAGTATTTGTTTAATTAGCACAGAACAAGTTTAGGATTAGCATGTGGCATGTTTTGAGCTTCATTTGTGTGTTTGCAATATTATTTGTTTGGCTATAATTAGCATTATGGAAAAAGTAATTGTTTAATTAGCACATAAAAAGTTTAGGATTAGCATGTAGCATGTTTTTAGCTTTATTTGTGTGTTTTCAATATTATTTGTTGGTTATAATTAACATTACGGAAGACGTATTTGTCTGATTAGCACAGCAGTAGCCTATCAGAAATAGTGGAAGACATTAGCACAGAAAAGGTTTAGCATTAGCATGTTTTTAGCTTCATTTGTGTTTTCAGTATTATTTGTTTGGTTATAATTAGCATTACGGAAGACATATTTTTCTGATTACCACAGCAGTAGCCTACCAGAAATATTGGAAGACATTAGCACAGAAAAGGTTTAGCATTAGCATGTTTTTAGCTTCATTTGTGTGTTTGCAGTTTTATTTGTTTATAATTAGCATTACGGAATAAGTATTTGTTTGATTAGCACAGCAGTATAAGAAACGGAGAAAGGCATTACACAGAAAAGGTTTAGCATTAGCATGTTTTTAAGCTTTATTTGAGTGTTGCAATATTATTTGTTTTGTCATAATTAGCATTATGAAAGAAGTATTTGTATGATTAGCAGAGCAGAACCAGAAACAGTGGAAAATGTTAGCACAGAAAAGGTTTAGCATTAGCCTGCATCATGTTTTTAGTTGTATTTGTGTTTACATTCAGTATTAGTTGAGATGTTTGATTGTAATTAGCATCTACACTAGAAGTATTTAACACAGCATCACCAGAAACAGAAAACTTTAGCATAGAATTGCATGTTTTTCATTTTATGTTTGATGTATTAGTTGTGGGTTTATGATTAATGTCAGAAAGAGATTAGAATGAAATGTGTTAGGTTTGTTTGTGTGTTCTCAGTTTTAGTTATGATTAGCATCTGTTCTAAATTTTAATTTTATTAGCACAGAAGACAATAGCACTGAAAAAGAACAAAACGTATTTAGCATGTAGCATTTTTTTTATGTTTGTGTCTTTGCGGTTTTAGTTGTGATGTTTGGTTTTGGTTAGCTTCTATACAACAAGTAATTCTTTGATTAGCACAGCAGTACCAAAAAAAGACATTAGCATAGAAAGAGCATAGAAACAGTTTAGCATGTAGCATGTTTTTAGATTTCTATGTGTACTTTGCATTTATTTGTGTTTGTTTATAATTAGCATATGTTCAAGAAGTATTTATTTGATTAGCACAGCAGAAGCTGAAACAAAAGTCATTAGCATAAATAAAGCACATGTAGCATGTTTTTAGGCTCATTTGTGTGTTTGAGGTTGTAGTGGTGATTTTGCTTAGCATTTGCACAAAAATTATTTCTTTGATTAGCACAGCAGAACCTAAAAACAAAAGATGTTAGCATAGATAGAACATAAAGTGTTTAACATGCATGTTTTTAGGTATATTTGTGTGTTTGCGGTTTTTGTTGTGATGTTTGGTTATAGATTAGCATCTGTGCAAGAACCCGAAACAAAAGACATTAGTATAGAAAGAGCACAGAAAGAATCTAGCATGTTTTAGGTGTATTTTTGTGTTTGCGGTGATGGTGGTGATATTTGGGTTTGATTAGCATCTACACGAAAAGTATTCATTTGATTAGCACAGCAGTATCAGAAACAGAAAACGTTTTAGCATGTTTTTAGGTTTATTTATGCGTTTTGCGGTTTTAGTTTTGATATCTGCTTACGATTAGCATTTGTTCAAGAAATAAATACTTGATTAGCACAGCAGAATCCAAAATAAATGACATTAGCATAGAGCACAGAAAGCATTTAGCATGTTTTTAGGTTTATTTGTGTTTGGTTATGATTAGCATCTGTGCACGAAATATTTATTTGATTAGCACATCAGAACCAGAAACAGAAGACATTAGCAAAGATAGAACATCAAAAGCATTTAGCATGTAGCATGTTTTTAGGTTTATTTGTGTTTGCAGTTTTAGTTTTGATGTTTGGTTATGATTAGCATCTGTTCAAAAATTAAATATTTGATTAGCACAGCAAAATGCAGAAACAGAAGACATAAGCAAGGAAAAAGCATAGAAAGCATTTAGCATGTAGGATGTTTTTAGATTTCTTTGCATGTCTGGTTATGATTAGCATCTGTGCAATAAATGTTTATTAGATTAGCAAAGTAGAAGCCAAAACAGAAGACATTAGCATAGAAAAAGCATAGAAAGCATTTAGCATATAGCATGTTTTTAGGTTTATTTGTGTGTTTGGTTGTGATTAGCATCTGTGCAAAAAATAAACATTAGATTAGCTTAGCAGACCCAAAACAAAAGACATTATCATAGAATAAGCATAGAAAGTATTAAATATATAGCATGTTTTTAGGTTTGTGTCTTTGGTTATGATTAGCATTGGCAAAAAATATTTATTAGATTAGTTTAGCAGACCCAAAACAGAATAGAAAGCATTTAGCATGTTTTAGGTTTTTGTGTTGGGTTAAGATTAGCATCTGCGCAAAAAATATTTATTAGATTAGCACAGCAAACCCAAAACAGAAGACATTATCATAGATAGAGAAAGCATTTAGCATGTAGCACATTTTTAGGTTTATTTGTGTGTTTGCGGTTTGAGTTGTGATGTTTGGTTTTGGTTAGCATCTGTTAAAGAAATATTTATTTGCTCAGCACAGCAGAACCCGAAACAGAAGACATTAGCATAGAAAAAGCATATAAAGCATTTAGCATGTTTTAGGTTTATTTGTGTGTTTGGTTATGATTAGCATCTGTGCAAGAATTATTTATTAGTTTACATGGCAGAACCCAAAACAGAAGACATTAGCATAGAAAGCATTTAGCATGTAGCTTGTTTTAAGGTTTATTTGTGTGTTTGGTTATGATTAGCATCTGTACAAAAATCATTTATTAGATTAGCATAGCAGAAGACATCAGGATAGAAAGAGAAAGCCCACAGCCTGGTTTCAGCGCTGTTTATTAGCATTAGTGTTTGGCACAGGGTGAGTTAGCGAAGAGACAGATGTTTGGCAGGAGAAAGCGCAATGAAGCCATCAGTTCTCTCTCATTTTGTCTTTATTTTCACAGTCTTTAAGGCACTGAAGGTGGACTAGAAGCATGGAGGCCTACTCTGGTTTGGGTTGTCCGGATTTTAGCCAGGCCACAAAGCTCTGGGCCGCCTGGTCTTGCAGGTATGAGCTCACGTCGCTGGTGTAGGTGCCCTCTGCATGACGTTTGACAGAACCACTGGAGGAAAAAAAAAATTTTAAGAGAGAAAATCAAAATATCTTACACACATATACACACACACACACACATACACACACAATAGTATACTATATTTATACTATATTAAATATTATATGAAACTATATTTATTATATTTTACAACACTATTAATGAATGCTACAACCCACTGTAGTATTAGTGATCATAAACTGTAATCAATATTGTAGTATACCAGACTTTTTACTACAGTAAACTGTGGTATATTGTAGTATAACATGCCCTGTTGTACAAGGTCATTTGTTTAAATTATTATTACCATAGAAACTGTCCAATCACCACAACATATTAGTTCAAGTATTTTACTATAGTATGCTTTAAAAACACTAGTAATTACTATATATTACTATGGTATTATTTCATAAGGGCATATATTGTTTTATTTTATGGTAACAATTAAATTATAACAAAAACAATAACAAACTATTAGGTTTTTAAAATATTATAACAAATATATTTATATAAATATAGCATTTTTATGATATTATATTTACTCATTATTTTATAATATAAAAAAATAAAGAATATAATTGTAATTTAAATATATATTTAAATATTAGAACTAATATTTAGTCATTTTGTTTCCATAGACTAATATTTTAATCTTGTATTTAAATGCATGGTAATCTAATTTCATATCATTCCTTAATAATATTGCATATAATCTGCCTCTTTATATAATTCCAATATATGCTGCACAGAACAAACACAAAAAATGAAGCCTAATTATAACAATGTAATTCTGAATTATTCTTCCTTTACGCTAATATAAACGTAAGGATTATGTCTCTATAGTTCATACCCATTTCTCTTAGCGTTCATGAGCCACTGAACGAAGTCTTGTGCTCTTCTGGTCTCCAGGTATTTGCTGTAGTCGTTGGAGAAAGTTCCCTCTGAATGTCTCTTCATGGTCGTCAAACCCGGAGCCCTCGCCAAAAAACTGTCTGCTGTCTCTGTGCTGCAAAAACACATTAGCATAAGCGTTATATTGTGAAAAAATAAAAAAATAAAATAAAATTATAAATAGCAAGTGAAGTGAAGTCAAATATTACTACTCGGAAATAACCTAAAAAAAGACCACTTCAGTCAGTTTAATACTGCGGTTTCTGTCTATTTTAAACTAGTATTTAAGCACTTTTAAAGAAAAAGTTTTAAATTTTGTGTTGTCATAAAATGCTGCTCCAAAGCACAAAACTCAAATAAAGTTCTTTTTTAGTCAATTCAATCCTACAGTTTTTGACTATTTTAAAAATAGGATTTAAGCACTTTTAATAAAAAATACTTTTAAAGACTAGTTTTTAATCTTCTTTAGTTCTAAATTATTACTGTGTAATGTTTATTATTACTGTATCCTAAAAAAATTCTAAAACAGTTTCTTTTAAAAGCTAGAATTTAAGTACCTTTAATGAGCAATGCTTAAGCATAGTAGATCTTATTTTGTTTTGGCCATTTTAGAACTACTATTTAAGCTCTTTTGATGAAAAGTGCTTATGGTTTAACACTAAGAGTTAACAACTTATCGTATGCTCCAAAGCAGGATATAAAGGACACAAAACTGAAAAAAAACATCTCTTTTCAGTCAATTCAGTCCAGCAGTTTCTGTCTATTTTAAAATCACAAAAAATACTAGATTTTCCATCTTCTTAAGTTGAAAATAATTGCTTTAAACACAAACGTTTTCTCATTCTTTGTTGTTGTTTTGCTTTACCTAAATAAAAAGCCCTCAGATTATTTCTAGTTTATGTAAAACTTGTGCTTAAGTACTTATGAACCACTTATGAATAGACATAAATTATGTACTTTCATCATAGATTACATCTTAAATTACAGAGACAAAACATGAAACTAACATTAAGGCCATTTCAGTCAATTCAATCCTGCAGTTTATGGCTATTTTAAAAATAGTATTTAAGTACTTTTAATAAAAATTGCTTATGAATACTAGTTTTTATCTTCTTTAGTTATAATATATTACTGTGTAATGTTTATCATTTTATTTTCAAATAAAAAGCACTAAAACAGTTTCTTTTTAAAGCTGACGATTAAGTAATTTTAATGAACAGTGCTTAAGCATAGTAGATCTTATTTTGTTTCTGGCTATTTTAAAACTACTATTTAAGCTCTTTTGATGAAAAGCGCTTAGTTAACAAATCTCATGTTAGCATAAAATACTGCCCCAAAGTAAGATATAAAGGACACAAAACTAAAAGAAAGATCTTTTTTTTCAGTCAATTCAATTCTACATTTTCTGGCTATTATAAAAATAGGATTTAAGGACTTTTAATATAAATCCCTAATGAATACTAGTTTTTAATCTTCTTTAGTTCTAAATTATTACCGTGTAATGATTATTATAATTACTGTTTCCAAATAAAAAGTCCTAACAGTTTAAATCTGGCATCAAAAACAAACAAAAAGACCGGTTTAGTCATTTTAATACTGCAAGTTTTAAAACTAGTATACTTTAACAAAAACCTCTAAACAGTTTCTACCAACTGTAAAACTAGTACTTAAGCACTTTTAAAGAAAACCACTAAAGAATAATAGTAAATCATGAACTTTTATCATAAATTAGTGCCTAGAAACAAAAAATAAAAAGCATAAAATTCACAAAGTCCATTTCAGTCAATTCAATCCTGCAGTTTCTGGATATTTTAAAAAAAAAAGTATTTAAGCACTTTTAATAAAAATCACTCAAGAATGCTGATATTTCATCTTTTTTAATTGTAAATTATTACTTTAAACCATTTTTTTTTCATATTTTGTTGTCATTTTGTTATTCTAAAGTTACATTTAACATTTTCTAGATTTTGTAAAACTAATACTTAATTACTTCTATAGCACTTAAGTATACTAGCACATCTCATGTTATCATAAAAGACTGCTCCAAAGCATGACATAAATGACACAAAACTGAAATAGAGGCCAGTCATTTCAACACTGCAGTTTCTGGCTATTAAAAGTAGTATTTAAGCACTTTTAATAAAAATCACCCAAGTTAAAACCACTAGTTTTTATTCTTCTTCGTTTTAAATCATTACTTTAAGACAAAAGTACAAAAGTTTTCTCAAACATTGTTGTAGTTTTGCTGTGCACACAGAAAATAGCCATAAAACAGTTTCAAGCTTTAGTAAAGCTAGCATTTAAGTACATTTAATGAAAAACACTTAAGTATATTAGCAAATATAGTATTTAATGATACAATACTGCTCCAAAACTGGTTATAAATGACACAAAACTGACATAAAGACAACTTTAGTCATTTCATCTCTCAACTGCCCAAATAAAAAGCCTTTAAATGGTTTCTAGCTATAAAACTAAAGCATTTTTAAAGAAAAGCACTTAAGAACAAAAGTAAAATATGTACCTTTGTCATAATTTACTGCTTGGAAACAAACTATAGAA